GGTGTGTGATGGTAACTAGGCCGGCGGCGGCGGTGGGGCTGCTCAGGGCTCTCTGGGGTCCGCTCTCCGCTCCCGCTACTGATCGAACTCTGACTACAGATTTCAAGGTGCTCGATATCTAGATAATATAACTAATCTCATGGGTGTCCAACAACTGAGGTTTAATAACCAAAGTTAAAAGGTCACTGGGCTAAGAGGACACCCAATATTTTGGCTCTGGCCTTCCAAGGTCAACAGTAGGGGACCTTTTCTACAGGATCATACAACTTTGGTAAGTTCCACAACCTCCTGATCAGGGAGTCTGTTGGACTTCAGAGAGTCAACCAACGTGTTGGTGAGCTAAAGACGGGGTCTCTGGCCATGCTTCCTCGGGAAGCCACACAGTGAAGCAAGACTGTGACTCACCATAGGGCTGACACTGCCAGAGGATCTGAGAGGGTCTGTACATGGTTCCAAAAGTACTGCCTGAGGAGACCTGACTGGCCCTCACAGATAGCAAGAGGTTAATTTTGACTAACACAGGTCTCACTTTAACATGGTCTTGAACTCACCAAACAACTATAACCAAAATCATATTAAAATAATAATAATAGAAGGTTCACATAAAAAGGACACTCCAATCACAGAGCCCTGGTGCAGTTTCCAGCTACAGATAGGTCTAGAAGATGGCTAGTTATAATTGCTATTCCAGTCCCTTTCATTCTGGAGCTCATGGTTTGGTCATACATGCTTTAATCTTCTTGGAAAGTTTGTTTATTCTTGCCCAGAGACTGCCGAATTCCAAGTGGCCATGCAAATGAAACCAAGCATAAAAGTGCCTGGGATCCTTTGACCCCATGCAAAGGCCCAGTAAACACATCTGCACCCTACAATTCCCAATCATTGCCCAGTCCTGCCCCTGACAAACAACACACAACCCCTTGTATGCCCTCAAGGTTTGTCCCTGGCAGACGGCCACAACTCCTGTGTACCGATCTCCCCTCCACCCCAATAGTCCCGTGGTGGCCTTTTCCTTCCACACCCCCCTTTTATGTTCACAACCCTATAATGACTTCATCTCCGGATCATGCTCTCAAAATTCCAGTCAAATCAGTGCTACCCTTTAAGGGGTGAAAGGAAGGCTGGCATTCCAGAAGTTCCTTGTCATACCCAGGCTTTAATCAGTTGACGTTAGAGAGTGAGCGTCCCAGTGCTGAAAGGCTCATGGGATCAAGGGTGTGTGAGGTCATGGGGGCAGGGGTCTCAGAGGTGCCTTGCACCCTTCCCTGGGGGCCTAGGCAAATCTTTCTGGCCTGGAAAGCTCGCTGGGGAGGATACCTTGAGTCTGCAGGTTTACTCTGGGAGATCAGCACCACGGACAGCGGCCAGGCCACAAGGGTGGGAGGTGGGCAAGCTCCAGCCTGGAGCAAGATGTGCTCTGAGGGTGGGTGTTGACTGGGACTGTCATCCTGAGTCCTTCAGGGTGATGGAGTCTGCCTTCCAGCAATGTGTGGGGTGGGGAGGGAAAGGGAAACTGTCATTTTAGGTTCCTTGGAGCTTTTTTTTTTTTTCTTAAAAGAGAAAACAGGAGACAAGGGTGTGTTTGCATCCCCACCAACCTCCGCCCCTGGTCCAGCCCATTTCTATACAAGGTCTACTCTCCCCAGCTGCCACCTCCATGCATGTTCTGCCTCCCCATGAGGATTCCTTGCAGGCAGGCAGCAGCGAAGGGTGCATTCTCAGGCCTTGAGCTCAGCTGACCGGAATGCAGCTGATAAATCAGAGATAAACCCCCACTTGGGGGAAGGGCTGCCCAGACAACCAGCCCCAACATAAAAGACCGAGTTCAGAGGAGCCAGAAGGCAGTGTGTAGAGAGAAGGTGGCATAGGAGCTCAGACAGCCAGGACGGCTTCAGCCTGGGATATCCTTCCCTCGACATGGGTCCCCAGACCGCCCTGCCCCAGACAATTCTGCTTCTGCTTTTACTGCACTTGTTATCCGAGGGAGGCCAATCTCACCCCCTGGGCAGGCCTGACCAGGCTTCGGCTCAACTGGGACTACAGGTGAGCATCAAGGGGCTGCACAGATGGGCTGTCTGGAGGGCTTGGGCAGCAGCAGTCAGGGGGTTCCTACTTCCCTTCCCAAGAGGTCCCTACTTGTTGAGGGAATTAGCAATAACTGAATTAGAAAGCAGCAAGGGTTGACAACGGGACCCCTTCTGGGTTCAGCAGGGGTCGGTGAGCCCAGGCGTGTTGCTGAAGCCAGGGCCACCCCACTCAGCCCAGGAACTGATGCATCTTCTTGGGTACAAGGTCTCGGAGACACAGGCAGAGTACGTGACTCTAGAGCCACACCAACAGGGCAGCGTCCCCACAGAAGCCTGGAATGCTGGGAAGACGGCCCCCAAGAGCACACTCCAGGTCTTTAGGGGGGTCCAAATGGCCAAGGAGAAGCAAGGTTCCAGTTGCTTCGGGAAGACGAGGATGGACCGGATCGATTCTGTCAGTGGCCTGGGCTGCAAGGGTAAGCCCCATCCTCATCATCACCGGGTACACAGGCCACCAACAGGGTCACTTCAGGAGACAGTCATCACTCCACACCCTGCTGTGTCACAAAGGGCAGTGTCAGGAAGGGTAGAGTTGGCTTAGGGTTGGGCAGCCCCTGCTTGGAGCAGAAAGAGGCTTAAATGTCATTCCCACTGGGCTCCCCCAAACTGTCTGCGACCTCAAGGCGGAGGGCACAGTCATCAGGGTAGCTTCACTTTACAGAGGGGCAAACTGAGTCCCTCAGAGATGGGACAGTCCAGGGTCTTGAGGATGGGGAGGGGAGCCCAGGGTGGGGAAAGGAATGTGTATGGGGCAGGGAAGCTCAGCTCCTGCCTCAGTTTCCCTCCTGAGACTATCACCATCACCCTGTCTCTTCTCCCCACAGTGCTGAGGTGGCCTTAGGAGGAAGCCCTGGCCACAGACATCTGCTTCTGATTCCACAAGGGCTCCATCACCTACCTCCTGACCTTCCTGGACTGATTTCTATTTATTAATTTATTTTGATTTATATATTTGATTATTTTCTACCAGATAGCTTCCTACCTTTTAACAAATACTTTCCACAATGAAATAAAATCAACAACCTAGCACTTTCTTTGGAAACGGATTTGTCTCTGTGTAATCAAAACAATCCTTCATTTTGGGGGAACGGGGAGTGAAAGGAACACAAAGACTTGTGTTTCTTTGAAGGTCCCAAAGGTGTCTAATGGTGGAGCAGGGTGAGGCCTCCAGGCCCGGCCCTCTTGGGTGGCTGGGGCTCCGCTCCTTTGGGGATTTTAATGCCCTGGGATGTTGGTCACGCCTTGGCACTCGGGCGCTGTGCAGAAATTGCTTTTCAAAGTGGGCATTTCCTTTTTTACTGGGACCAGAACCCAAGAGGGTGTGTGTCCCTGAGTTTGTCCTGCCAAGCTTGCCTGC